GGGGTTGGTGGCTCAGCCTGTCACTTCAGCCCTTCTGATGAGGAAGGAAGGAAGGAAGGAAAGAAAAAAGGGAGGGGGGAAAGAAGGGGAGGAAGCTGTAACAAGCCTTTCTCCGTCCCTCCAGCTCCTAAATAACGGCACAAACACTTCTTATTAATTAGGAAAGCCCAGCCTACAGCTTAGACTTGTCCCATTAGCTCTTATAACGTAAATTAACCCATTTTGATTCATCTCCGTGTTACCACGTGACTCGTGGCTTTTGCCTCTCTTCCTGCATGTTGGTTCCCTCTCCACCTTTCTTCTCCCCAGAGCTCTCTTTGTCCACAAGCCCCTGCTATACCTCTTGCCTAGCTATTGGTCATTTAGCTTTTTATTAACCAATCACAGGGACAGACACATCTTCACACAGTGTAAAGGAATATTCCACAACATTTCTCCCCTCTTTGTCTAAATAAAAAAGAAAGGTTTTAACTCTCACGCAGTAAAATCATGTACAATAAGAACAATTATCAGATAAGAATTACATTCACAATGTCCAGTCCATTTGTATTTGGCAAATTTAGAGAAAATATTATATTATCTATCCTATCTTAGTCCAAAGCTTTATACCTAAACCATTTTCTCCATAACTTGTATTACCACCCTAAAAATATCTTTTTAGACCTTAAAACAATTTTTTTTAGATAAACAACTTAAGCTTTCATGTTTCTTGTCTGTTCTTTCTGCCTTCTGGTGGCTCCACCCTTCTTCTCCCCAGAGCTCTCTTTGTCCAGAAGTCCTTGCTATACCTCCTGCCTAGCTATTGGCCATTTAGCCTTTTATTAAACCAATCACAGTGACAGACACATCTTCACACAGAATAAAGGAATATTCCACAAGAAGGAGCAGTAAAAGTGTGAGTTGCAGCTGGGCAGTGGTGGCACACACCTTTAATCCCAGCATTTGGGAGGCAGAGGCAGGTGGATCTCTGTGAGTTCTAGGCCAGCCTGGTCTACACAGAGAAAGCCTGTCTCAAGTTTGGCTTGGGAGTGTGCCTCAGTGATACAGAACTTGACTTGCATGAACAAAGCCCTGGGTTCATCCCTAGCACTGTGTAAAGGAAGAGAAAGAGAACGTAAGAGTGAATGACTTTACTGCTTTGTTCAGAAGAGTGTGTGTTCTGTCTTCCACCAACCAGTAAGCGATGGTAGCGCCCAGCATTCATAGACACCTTCATCTACCTTACACTTGGTCGTGGAGATTGATCCAATGCAATCATGCTGCAGAGGAATTGCTCAGAGGGTGTCCAATAGGAATGTTTCTATGTACATCCTCACATGATTCTGAAATTGTGATTTTTCATGGACATCCACATCCTGGCAATATATCCCTGGATTTGACTGTAATCTTGCCATTGTGCTCATCTGCAGGCCTCGTAAACTTGTTTTAGTGTAGCCTTAAGTCAGAGATTCTGTGTAACCAGACAGATAGTGCCACCCATAGCATCCATTTGAGAACACATCTGAACTTGCACCTCCTACTGATAAATGTTTTCAAAGGAGGACTACATTCTGCTGAATGAAAACACAAAGCCACTGAAGTGGGAGTGTGTGTGTGGGTGTGTGGTTGTGTGTGTGGGTGCGTGAGTGTGTGTGTGTGTGTGTGTGTGTGTGTTTGTGTGTGTGTGTATGTGTATGTGTGTGCACATGAGTGCTGGTGTTTGAGGGAGCCAGAGTGTCAGATCCTCCTGGAGCTGAAGTGACAATGGCTGTGAGCCCCCTGATTTGGGAGCTGGGAATCCAAGCTGGGTCCTCTGCAGGAGCAGCACACACTCTTAACCACTGAGCCATCTCTCCAGCCTTGTGGGTGATCATATTCATAATCTAAGTTTTGTTTTGATTTATCTTCTGGTGAGACAATCACACTCTGTAGCCCAGCCTGGCCCCAAACACTCAGTCCCCCTGTCTCTGCTTCCCAATTGTTAAGGAGATCATTTGTGACCTGTGTGACGAGAGCAGGTTTTTGTTTGGTTTTGGTCTCTCAAGGCTAATTCCTTTCGAGGATTTCTCAGGATTGATGCCCAGAAGCCTACAGTGTCGCTAGCCACGTCCCAGGTCCATTTGTTGGCTGGTGTGGTCAGGATAGCCCAGGGTCTCTGAGGTAGCTTATCTGATTGCATCTAATAGTTACCCCTGAGATTCCTTGTAGGAATGACTCAGCAAGGACACCGACTGAAAGTCTCTCTCTCTCTCTCTCTCTCTCTCTCTCTCTCTCTCTCTCTCTCTCTCCAGAGTGGCCACAAACCAGAAGGTGCGGGAACAGGTTCGCCTGGAGCTGAGCTTTGTCAACTCAGACCTGCAGATGCTGAAGGAGGAGCTGGAGGGTCTCAACATTTCCGTGGGAGTGTACCAGGGCACCTAGCGAGTGAGCAGTGCTTTCCAGACGCTCTCTGTGCCCGAGTGTGTGTCTGCGTCCAGCATGCTACTCGGAACTGGTGTAGTGGACCAGGCAGCACCGCTGGGGTGAAAGGGATGAACCTGTGAGGTTTGAACGGAAAGAACTGGAATGTGGACTGAAGGCCAAAAAGCATAAACTGCTTTAATGTACATACTTTACTCTGAAAAGTGGGGAGCCCATCCAAATTCCCATACAAGATGGTGCAATGGGGACCCTTCAGAAATGGACCCTGCTAAAATACCTGAGAAGTGAATACTGAGATTCAAATCATTCCTTAGGGAGTATTTGAGGTGGGGCACTCAGGAAAGCTCAGAGATTCATTTCTCTGCTCACTGTAGGTGAACTGTGGAGGGTGGGGTGGAGAAATATCCCATATTTAAGAAGAAATAACATGGTAGCTTGGGGCAATAATCCCAGCTATTCAGTAAACTGAGACAGGGGGAATCATGAGTTTGAGGCCAGCTCAAGGTACATAGCAGGATACTGTGTCAAAGTGAACATAAAGTGGTCAGGAGATGTAGCTCAGTGGTGGAGCCCCTGCCTAGAATCCCCCAGTGAGGGGCTGGGGGCGTGGCTCAGTGGTGGAGCCCCTGCCTAGAATCCCCCAGTGAGGGGCTGGGG